GGGAGCAGGATGGTGTAGTAGAGTTAGGTGAACCTGAATTTGAATTCCAGGTCAGGTAACCGTGGGAAATAACCCAAACTCCCAGCCTCAGTTTTGGCATCTGTATCTGGGGATAATAGTATCTACCTTAGATGGGTTACTGTGAGGATAAAACTCATGTGAGTCTTTACTACTTAAAGTGTGTACCATGAACCAACAGGTGGTTAGCAATGCTGCACAACAGAGCCCTGAATTATGATCTGCATTTTGATGAGATCACCACCTGGCAGAATGCATCCAGCAGAATGCCTGCCTGCCACACATTTTACTATTTATTTATTATTCTTCAACTGATAGATAACAACTATTTCAGTCTTTCAGACTAAAGTAATTGGGTTGACTTGGAAAAACACATGTGGCCAGTTTATTTAGTCTCTTTTTCTTAATTATTGACCTAAGTTGTCCTTCAACTCATTTGAAAGATGTATAACTTCCAGACTTATGGTCTAGACTCTAGAGGGTTTCTGTCTGTCCTTTTAATTTATTTATTCACTCAACATAAATCAAACAGCCACTATGTATTAGCTACTATGAATGCCACTAGGGAAACTATGCAAAATGGACATGGTCCTCACACTTGTGACACTCAGCTGAAAAGGACACGAAAATGAGCCAAAATGTGGCATGTTGTAGTTCTCAAGATGTAAAACTTTGTAAGTATCGGGGAGTAGCATATACTTTTTTAAGAAATCTGCAGAGCAGTTTTTTTCCTTTTCTGAGTTTTATTCTCTTTTTTTCCTTCTCTTTTTCTTTTTTTTTTCTTTTCTTTCTTTTTTTTCCCCCCAATTTGAAAGTAGTTGTTTATTAACTGACCAGATTACAAAAAATAATCATGGTGGATACCTTAGCTCATCCTTCTGATAAGCCTATTGATCTGGTCTTCCCTAGGCCAGCATCTCCGCCTTCTGCAAAATGGGCGATATTTTTCTTCACTCCCCCTGGTGGGGAAGATCATCTGAAGGGCCATAAGAAGTTGTTTGCTTCTTTGACACGTTTTCCAACAGTATAGATCTCGTGAATCAGATCCTCCATGCAGATGATGCCATGTTTACCAAGAGATCGAGCAGTCAATGTGTTCTCTGTCAGGACAATTCGCTTCTTGTTGATTTTGGCTGTAACCATGCCTGTGGATCAATTCATTCACTGACTTCCAGTTTGGGTCCCCTCATGCTCTCTATGGCTCCACAATCCTTAGCATGTTAACTGAAGCCTTGGTGAGCCTAACAAAGGTGCCACTGATGATCTGGCAAAGGTGAAGAAGCTACAACACCTTTCAAACGTTTTGGCTCTGATCCTGATGACAAATGCCAGTTTGGGTTCTGCAGGTACGTAGAAGTTGCCAGCTTTTCTTGCCATCCTACCCATTCGAATCTCAGTTCTGAGCATCTGCCTATATTCCTTGTGGGAATGCTTAGCTTTTCATAGATAAGCTCCCTCCTTGCCTTTCGAAGCATCTTTTGGGCAAACTTCTTTCTCAGATGCTTGATCTTCAACTCTGCGAAATTCCTTGGCTTTTTTTTAAGGGTTCCTGGCACAGCAGGAACCTTCTTTTTCTGCTCTTCTGCACCCTCCCTGATGCTAGCTGGGGAAGAGAAAGGTCTCTGTCTCTCTCTTTTTTTTTTAAAGATTTTTTTATTTATTTGACACAGAGAGAGAGAGCGAGAGAGGGAACACAAGCAGGGGGAGTGGGAGAGGGAGAAGCAGGCTCCCCACTGAGCAGGGAGCCTGATGCGGGACTCAATCCCAGGACCCTGGGATCATGACCTGAGCCGAAGGCAGATGCTTAATGACTGAACCACCCAGGTGCCCCCCTCTCTCTTTTTTTCTCAAGTAAACTCTAACCCCAACGTAGGGCTTGAACTCATGACCCGGTGATCAAGTCGCATGCTCTACTAACTGAACCAGCCAGGTGCCCCGTTAACTTTTCTTAATTTAGAAAAACTATATCATATAATGCTTCTTGCTTTGAATTCTACATTTTATTATGATAATATTGCTTACCACAAACTTTTTTCATTTGGTCGTAATTTTGATCATTCCTGAATTTCTAATTCTTATTTTTCCAATTTACTTAAATTAAAAAATATATTTTAACTGAGATTAAAAAAACACACGTAAAATTTTTCATCTTAATCATTCGCCGTTCAGTAATGTTAGCCCTATTCACATTGTTGCACGACAAATCTCTAGGACTTTTTCATCTTGTAAAACTGAAACTGTGCCCATTGTACAACACCATTTCCCCCTCACCCCAGGGCTTGGCAGCCACAATTCTACTTTCTGTTTCTATTAATTTGGCTGTGTTAGATACCTAATATAAGTGGAATCATATAGTATTTGTCTTTTTATTGTTAGCTTATTTCACATAGCATAATGTCCTCAAGGCTCATTCATGTTAAGCATGTGACAAGATTTCTTTCCGTAAAGCTGAATAATAATCCATTGTGTGTATATGCCACATTTTCTTTATCCATTCATCCATCGATAGACATTTGGGTTGCAGAAGCTATTGTGAATAATGTGAATGATGTGAATGGGACTACCTCTCGGCTATTGTGAATAATGCTGCAATGAACATGAGCGTGCCTCTGAAGGACTTTGACTCCAAATGTAGACACTAATCCATCCCCATGCCTGAAAATAGTTCTTGACTGTAAATAAGAAATGTGGGCTTGAGCTAGCAGGGAGGGAATAGTGGGCCGCTTCTGCTCAGGATCTCATCTCTGAATGTCCAGGCAACAGCAGAGGAAAGGAGAAAATGCCAGAATCACTCAGAGCAAAGAGTTTCTTGTCTAAAAGATTGTATGCCTACCATATACAGAATGCCAGGTGGAGGGTTTCCTGGATTAAGATAATTATGACAATGAGAATTTTTTTTCAAGTTCCCAGGATCATGTCTAAACAATAATGAAAATAGTGATCACCAGTGTCAGGAACAGGCCCAGCAGGGGAGAATATCAGAACCCTATCTGGAGAGAGGCCTTGTGTTCTTTGGAAAGAGAATTACACAGAGAATAGAAAAATTCAAACTTCAAATACGATATAAACTACTGAAATTTAAGCTTAGCAACTTTTTTTTCCCCCCTGGCTGTCGGGGCATGGGTTAGGATAATAAAGAAATGTGGGTCTCTGTGGCTAAGACACCAGTCTCTTAAAGCACACAGAAACCCTTACCAGGGTTCTACCTGATGTTCTTTGCTCCTAAGTTGCTGGTTAAATGAATTGTTTCTGTTGAAAGCTAGTCTTTAAAGAAATTTAGTTTCACTTGGGCACCCCAGAGTCTTTATCTGGGCTCCCAAGTCAGCTGCAGATGACATTCCTAAGAAAATCAGTTTATATACAAAAGTCAAGAGCAACTTTGGGCTTCCCTGGGGACTAGGAATTATATAAGCCTTCAGGGAGGGAAAGGAAAAGTATTATAAGCTTGAACCGCTTAAACCGCCTTTCACTGATCTCTTTTAGTCCATCATTTCAGTTCTTAGAGAAGAGGAGAAGGATTACTGCAGACTCAACTTGTTGGTACCACTTTACTAGAGCTACTTGTCACCGTAGCAAATATGGTTATTTATGGTACAGGTAAGCAGAAAAGGCACTGGCCCAAGAATCGGAGATGGGTTCTAGTTCTAGCGTGGCCACTAAGCAGTTGGGTGGCTTTAGACATGTGCCATCCCCTCTTGAATATCAGCTTATTTTCTATAAATTCCAGTAGCACTTGGACTAGAAACTCCATCCCTTTCCGCTCTGACACTCTGTGAATTAAGGAGATCACTTGACCACTGTGTTCATTCTACTTTTTATTTGGCATTTGTTCATTTGGTACATATGTACATATATAAAAATCTGTACAAGGTAAAAATACAAAATAAGTATTTCTTTATAAGTTATGCAATTAAACAGCTACCTTTTTAAAGTTTAAAAGCCATTGCAAAAGAGAGAGAAGTCTAATCAGTCCTTTATAGTCATTCACAATAACATTGGTATAAAATATCCATACAACACATGTGTACAAAATAGTGTACAGTTCATAAAAGCTGTGCAAAGACAGCAAAGTTCAGTAAAAAACAAAATCAAAATCAAAGAGGCTTGAGGGTTCTCTCTCTGCTCACCTCATGCCCAGTGCTCAAGAGACTTGCAGGTCAGTGAAATCTCCCCAGAAATAATAAAAGGGCACAAGGTAGAGTGCTTGGTGCATAGACTATGGATACAGAAATTATAAAGAAAAAAGCTTTAAAACATGCATACAGAAATAGAGACTTTTCCCTCACAACAACTCACTTTTTGCCCAGAAAGCATGGAGATTATGACAGAAAAGACTCAATATTTATGTTGTGCCTTAGACCAGAAAGTAGGGGTGTGTGTGTATGTGTGTGTGTGTGTGTGTGTGTGTGTGTGTGTACGTTAAAAAAAAAATACTTGAGATTTCTGAGGGAGCTGCTATGGAAAGACTGGGTTACCAGAGTCGCTAGGTAGGAGACCCTCCAACCTAAGATAGGGAGGTGGAGGCATCTAGGAAGTCCAAGGTCTTGGAGTTACATACTTAGGATGTTGTGACTCCTAACTCCGTTTCCTTTGCCATTAAGAGTGTCCTCCCTTATTGAGTTGTCACTGCTAAAGACCTGCAGAGCCTGGCTCACAGCTAAACCCAGGCTATAGGTGTGAACACCCCCACTGTGTTTAAAATAGCTTGCAATAAGCAAGATAGGAGCTCCGGTAGAAAAGTTAAGGCTGGGACCAAAACCTAAGTTTCACTTAACTGGGAAAGAGCTGTTGGGAGGTGGTGTGGGGGAGGGAAAGGCCGTTTTGGGCAATGGAAGGGGCTGGGGTGTCCTTGACGAGGAGATGGTTCTGCAAAGGGGAGTGGCAGCATCTGGGCAGCAGGAACTGAGCCGACATGCCGACGGAATCCCGCCTCTTCAATTTCAAAGCACTTCTAAACAGTACCCAGGCGGAGGGGAGGGCTTCTAAGACACGGTGATCTCCTCCTCGCCCTCCTCATCCTCCTCAGAGTCGGAGAAGTCCGAAGGCTTGCCGGGGCTGCTCGAGTGCGCGGGCGAGGCGGGCAGCGGTCCTTCCAGTCGCGGGTCCCGCAGGTGCCGAGGGTCGGGGGACGCGTGATAGACTAGGCGGTGGCGGGGGCTGCCCGCGCCCTCATCTTCCTCCTCGTCGTCCCCCGGGCCCTTCTGGCCCACGTCGCTGAGGTCCGGGTGCGGATTGAGTTTGGTGGGCAGGGTCTGCTCTCGGCAGCCCCCGCTAGACAGGAGCTCGCGCTCCTTGGAGTTCCGCCACTTCATGCGTCGGTTCTGGAACCAGATTTTCACCTGGGGCGCGGGGGGCGGGGGGAGAGATCGGGGGACAAGCAGAGGTTAGCGCAGGCTCTTCCCGGCAAGGGCCTGGGGGGAGGGGCGCCGGCAGGACGACAGGGGAGGGTAGGAGGCTCTTTCCAACCTTGCCTGCTGCCCACGCCCTGAAGTGGGTTCAGGTGGCTCAAGGCACTCACCCTACCCTCATCCCCTCCTCAGCTCCTCACTCCTCTAGCCCCATCCTCTGAGCTCTGACCCGGACGGCCGCGGGGGCGGGTGGGGGCTGCTGAGCAGGGCGGGGAGCGCAGGGACTGGGAGAGAAGCGGGCTGTCCCGAGGAGCCTCAAGGAAGCTGACTAGTGCATGCATTCCCTCTGTATTCCTTACTTTCCCCATCCGTACTATGGGACCTAACCGGTTTCAGAGAACCCTCCCCGTTGTAGGATGCGTGGGGGAAGGGTGAAGCGTGGGGCTGGGGCTGTGGGGAGACCACCCTCACTTGTGAGTCTTTCAAGCCCAACTTGGCCGCCAGCTTCTTGCGGTCGGGCTTGCTGATGTACTTCTGCTTCTGGAACATCTTCTCCAGCGCCTTGCGCTGCACGTCGGAGAACACGGCTCGACGCAGCATGCCCCGGCGAGGTTTGCCGCGGGCCGCAAGCGGCCAGGAGAAAGTCCCCGGGATGGGCACGACGCTCGAGGACGCTGCGGAGGGGTAGGGGTGGGGGGTTACCAGTGAGTGGGCGGTGTCCCGCCGAGGCCGCAGCGTCTGCCCCTCCCTAGTGGCCTCCCTCGGTTTTTCTCTCTGATCCCTTCATCTCTTTAAAGCTCCCCTTTTTCTCCTCTTGGAGAATAGGGCAGGAACCTACCAACCTGCGAGTGTGAAAGGCGCTTTCCGCCCAAATAACTTTCCCTTTCAACCAAGCAAACCCGGATTAGGTAAAACCACGGAAACACAGAAAACAGCCCCCACAATAGCCCGCTTCGTTTTTCCATTCAACGGTCTCAGGGGAACAGTCTCAAGGGAACAAACCTGCGTATATCGGCTAAAATAGCAGCAGAAAAACATAAATTACAAAAATAAAAATAAAATATACAGCGGAGGCCACTGGGTTTCCCCCTTAAGCTTTTATCACCTTGGTGGCTTTTGCATTCTTTAGATGAAAATGAGGTGCTTTACTGATTTGACAGAAGAAAATCCGCTTTGGATTTTTTTTTTGAAAAATCCAATCAGCATTCATCTTTTTCATATTAATCTTTCCTCCCCTCCCCCACAAAACGTAAAGAATTCGGCCCGAATACATGAAAAGTGGCAGCTAATTAGCACATTGACCGCTCCCCAATGGGTATTGGCATGATAAAAAGGGGGAGAGTTTTGCTTTAAGGGAGGGAAAAAAAACCCAAAAAGAAACAGAGACTCTAATGAAGCGTGAATGGTAATTGTGTAGTAATGAACTAACAGAAAAAGACTGAGGACAAGCAGCGAAAGCCATATATTACTGGGACAAAAGAGATTTACACTTTCAAACTAAACACAACTGCAGGCCAAGACCATTGGGAGAATACTGATGGCAGAGGCTTCTCTTCCCGGAATCATTTTCATTAAATGGACATGAAAAGCTATTTATAAAGCTCGGGTTGTTTTTGTTAGAGCATTGAGATGAGGGAGAAAGGGAGCAAATTCCATTAGCAGCAGCAGCATGAATGGTGGTTGGGGGCTGTTGGTGAATGCTCTCTCCCCCTTTTAAAAATCAATTGCTTGTTTCTTTTGCTGATATTTGGGAGTGTTGTCGTGGTATTACCCATCCCCCACCGTCCATGCCCAGTTTCTCTTCTCTTTAGAGGCTCTCCTCTATCGCCTGAGTCTTGACCCCTTGCGGAGTTTTTGAGCTATAGTTTGAGTCACCACTGAGTCATCCCCAGTGGTGCAGGATGAAAACCTCCTGTAAACTGTGTAAGGTGTTTCTCCTTTAGACTGGGACCCGATTAGGGGCTTCCCTCGGACTTCTTATTCTACAAGCTCAAGGTCTTTAAAAAGATAAGGCAATGGGGGAAGGGTCTGAGAAGAGGTTGGGAAATCAGGTTGGAAATAGAAGTTTGGGGTTGTGGGAGGATCTAGTCCCCCCTCCCCCTGGGCGACCCCAGGCATCCCACACAAGAGGGCACCCCATGTGGTCTTGTGAAAAGCCCGAAGCCCTGAATGAGTCTTAAAGAGAAATTAGCCCCGGCTGGTAGGTGTCTCTCGGCGGCGTGGAGGGGCGAGGGCCGATCTGTGTGTGGCTGCCCAGAGGAGCTGACCAATTGGTCATGGTGCTGAAACCTTTGTCGGGAATCGTGGCCAAGTGCACTGACTCTGTGGGAAAACGGCGGCGTGAAGGGATGCCAACAGCTCCTCGCCGGGAAGGGAACCGCCTCAAATTGGGACCATGACAATTCCTACTAATTTGTAGAGCAGGGAATTGGTGCAAAGTGTCAAGCAGTCACTGCTTGTGCTAAATAGGGCATCAAATTGGCGCGACGGATTCGTGAATGTTGTACGCCTCGCAACCTCTGAACCAGAGCATAACCTCGAGGGGTGGACGGAGAAATATGGCTTCGGAGCAGGGAGCGACAGGCTGGGGCTGGGGCGCCGCCCCCAGGAAGGGGGACGAGACCTACCTGGGAAATAAGAAGATCTGATAAAAGGCTGGAAGGAGCCTTCAAAGTAGGGAAAGGCGAAGGTCTTGGGAGGAACGCTCTGGAGCAAGGCGGGGGACGTTTCTGGCAGAGAATAAAGGAGGAAGGAAAAGAAGGAGGGAGACAGAAAGGGAATTTGATTAGGTACTTGATTATTGTACAGAACATTGAATACATGATATGATTAACCCTTCCGCTGGCTTCAAAGACGTCTTCCTCAGTGTTTTGACAGAGTAAAAGAAATCTTTTCCTAACATTATGCCGTCTGTGGGTATCCTTCCACCCTCCCCACCCCCACCCGAACCCTCTCCCCCACCTCAGAATCGGCCCCCTGTCCCCAATCTCATCCTGGGCACTAGCGAGATAGGTAGTATTGGGATGGGGAAGCAAAGAATTGCAGGTCCATAATACTAGCTAAGCTAGTAAATATATTATCTTGGGTTTTAAAAACTGGCTTCCGGAAGTTCGAGGGCAGAAACACAGATGCCTAGGGGCGTGCGCTCTCTCCGACTGCAGGTGCTCAAGTTCATTATGAGGGTGGGGCGAACCTGGAGCTTTTCCCGGGAATTGGCTGGACCTAAGCCTCGCATTGCGCTACGTGAGGCTTCGGGGATCTTGCGTAAGTATGTGCGCCGATGTGTGAGCGGGTGCCTGCTGCATACAGGAAACCGAAGCCAGAAGGACTGGCACCTGGACCGGCCCTCAGCGTTTTGCGTTCACTTACCGGTTCTGGGCGCAGAGGAGAGGATGGCGTTCACCCCAAACTTCAGAAACGTGGGCTCGCTGGCAGGGGAGGCGGCCGTCTGAGGTGAACCGTCTGGTCGGCTGCCCGGACCCGGGGAGCCCAGGTCTGAGGTCCCGGTGTCTGTGAGAGTCGCGGGGGCCCCCTGCCTAGGGGGCGACATGCTGGCGGTGGGTAAGCTGCGGGGCAGGTAAGCGGGAGGCCGGCTGATGCGAATCAGATCCTCCACCAGGAAGCTCGAGTGGCCAGAAAACGCCGACTGCAGGGACTGGGGCAGCGTTAAGGTGGGCGTGGGGCGCAGGAGGCTGGGGTACCCGGCGGGGGGTGCGAGGAGGCCGGGGAACATCATGTTAGGCGCGGGGCGGGCGGAATAACCCTTCTTCCAGTGGCCGGAGGGCAAATGCCTCGCTTTCCGCCCCTCCCGCCCCTGCAGTGCCCTCTCTCTTGGGCAAACGTCTCCAAGTAACGATCCCACTTGGGCGTCTGCGAGTCCTCCGTGGTCCTCCCGTCGAGGTGATGGTTTTATAGTGGCCCGCCCGTTAAAGCGCTTTGAAAAGTGACAGCTCTGACAATGAAGTTCAACAAAGTTCTCCACTCGAGCTTCATTCGCCGGAGGCTCTGGGCGCTCTGATTGGCGCAGGGGTGCAATTTATGATTGGATTAGTCTTCATAAGCATGGCCCGCACAATGGGCTGGCAACAAAGGCTGGCGCGCATCAATTCTGCATATCGACCGCCTCTTTGCAATACAGTGCGCCCCCAAAGCTCTCGCCGGGAGTTTTTGTTCCGAAGCAACACCCGAGCTAATTAAATGCCTATTTAGAAGTTTCAGATGACATCTTGCCTCATAGAAAAGGAATTATTTAAAGAACGCACTAAATTTATTTGCAGCTCCCCTGCTGAGCCTGGAAAATAAATCAATAAATATTCATAGAAATTCATCTCCAGGCAATCAGTAAAATAACCCTCCCCCTTGTGGGGTGGGCAATGGAAAATTTCAAGTCAGTGAACACGAAAATATACTCCCTTCTTCGGTCTCTAGCACTACACGCTACTCCAGCTGAGGCATAAAGCAGATGTGAGGGGTGGGTAAAATCAGTGTTTGTGGGGTGCCATTCTAACAACACAGGGAGATTGGAATTGATGCTTTGGGGTTATTGGTTGTGGGTCCATAAGGATGGAGGAAGAGGTCTTGGCTTGAGTTATTTCGTGTCGGGAAACTAATGGAGTTTGAGAGAGTTGGTAGATACCTGAATGATAAAATGCGTCTCCTTCTGCAAACTCCCAGCAACTTGGAAAACAATTTTCAGCGACATTTCTCTAGAAGTGTCACCAAGAAGCACTCCGCAGCTCGCTCGTCTGGTAGAGGATCAGAGAGCAGCAACGCACCAGGGCTAGGCGGCGGTATTCCACTTGCACAGGGCTTACTCCTGCCGGAAGCAGCCTCAAGCCAGGCGACCTGAACACTGGAACGCTACGCTGGCCCCTTTCCAACCTCAAGGAGCTTTCTGCAGTTTCATTTGTAACTTACAGCCTGGACTTTTAAAACCATAGCCGCAAAGGTTGAGGGTTCTACCCACTGCTGGGCGCTTAACTCGGCCAAAGTTTTGCAGCCTCTTAATTAACTGCAGTGTACAAGCGTGTGAAAACAGCGTGAAGAACGCCATTCCCAAGAATGCTGGCCCACAGTCAGGAGAGTCTATGCTTAATCTGGGGCCTCAAATGAGAATCTTCGTGGAGACTAGTCCTTCCCTTTACTCTGGTTTGGGGCTGGGGTGGTGCTGAACCTCGATTCCCGTTTCTCTGTTCGGCGAGATAACAGATGTGTTAAATGTCCCATTCATTTCTTTGGTGTGGCTGAACCTCCCCAAAGAGAAGTGTGCAGCCCCGCCAGGCTGCCCTGATCCTATTAACCATGAACTAACTGTCACCTTCAGCTGGTTTTCCTTTTTGCTTTTTAACACAAAGCTTTCTCAAAAATCTTATTAACCAGCTTTATTTCTCTCGATGGTTTTGTTCAGGGCGTTTTGTGTTGATGATCTCCATGTCGCTGCTTTAACCATTCAATAAAAGTGCATCTGCGATTTATATCACATTAAACCAGAAACGGAGCCCGCTAAAGCTCTCCCTTGATTCAAATTAAAAAGTTATTTAGGGCTGGGCTCTGGAGCCGAATTATAAGGCTCAAAGGTGATGCAAGTATGGAGTTTCTGAGCCCAAGACGCTTATGGAAGCGTACTGGGCGGGCAGGCAGCCGAAAACCTCTAAGGAAAGGAATTTTTAAATAAGTGGCTATTTAAATATGCGAAATGCATTGCTCGAGTTAATTGGAGTCCCCTGAAACGGTCGAGGGACATCTGTGACGAACTTTGAAAGTTTCTCTTTTTGAAGTTTTGCAATAAAATAGGGGAGCAAAGTCTAAACTGTTTGAAAGCCTGCGCTTTAAGCTTGCCACAAGACAAAGTTTTCCATCGCTATCAATTCCCCACTACCCTTGCCCCCAACTGCTTTCTGGAAGCTGGGAGACCGGCTCTGCTTTTTGCATTCTCTCCCTCCAACTTGTCTCAGGTCCAATTCTCCTCCTCCTCCCCCCCCCCCCCCCCAACCCCTTTCTCCTCTCACTCCCTCTTTCTTTTCCTCCCCTCCTGGAGCTGTAGCCAGTTCTTGAGTTAGAGGAAAGCTATGACTACAGGTGTTGAATTACCCATCAATGAAGCGCTTTCCCAGTCTTCCAGAGGGTCGGAATAGCGCCTCGGTTTGCAGGGTTTTTCAGAAGGGAGGGGAGGAGCGCTAAGAACGCAAAGCCAGTCTGGAGCCCTCCTAGCGCCATCCTCTTCCCTAGGCCTCTTCTCCTCCTAGGGCATTTCTCTGGGTGTAGTTTTTAGTTATTATCCTGCCTACTGACACGCTCCATGTGCCCCCCACCACCAACACCGCGCGCGCGCGCACACACACTCACACATACATCCCGGTCTTTCTGCCTTACTATAGACTAACTGCTGCTAACTTCTCAGCTTTTAAAAAGGAGCCCTGACATTTTGGAAGCAACCCCTCGCTGCGATCCACGTGGACCCTGCCTCCAGCGGTCTGTCTGCAGAGCCCCCTGAAGCATTCCTAAGGCGCAAAGAGGAAAAGTGAGGGTGGGGCCGAGGGCTGGCCGCCCGTGAAAAGGCAGAATAAATCCTAAGGAAGCAAGAAATCGGACGAACGGATCTTACTTTAAGTGATCTCCTTGAACGCGTCTTTTCAAACCCCGCGATAGCCTAGGGGGCTGCGCGGCGCGGCGGCTGCGGCTAAGACCTGTAACTAATGCCGTTTGACCTGAGCCCATGGGGTTTTGTGCGTCCTGCCATTCATGGTAATGTCGTTATCTTCAAGTGTATTTCAAAGAAGTCACTCACGTCCTCTCTCCCAGAGCTGGGTTGTCTATTTCTCTTTCAAGGGAAAAAACGCGAGTGGAAAAGTGAGAATCGGAGGCCCTGGCTGGCGTTAAGGTCCTTGCCTGCGCCACGGGCGCTACTGCTCGCTGGGGGAGCCCGCAGCTGAGACGGCCGGGACTCCCGGGGCCTACGAGACCAAAGCGGCCCGAGCCTCCCTGGGACTATAGGGTGGGCTCTGGGGATTTCTTTCCTCCCGGCCAGTGGAGAGCCAGCGGGTCCCAGCCCCACGCGCCGCCCTCTCCCAGTGATGGGGCCCTCCGCAGCCGGCAGCACCCCCGCTAAGCGCAGGCCGCGCGGAAGGAGGCCAGGGGCCTACCATGTAGAGAGTGGCTTAAGACTCCTGGCTTTCCGAAATGTTAACGAGCGTTAAGTTCAGGAAGGATGGGACCCCAAGGTAGCACTTTGCAAGGGTTTGAACCCCCAGGCCGCGGCGCTCTGGGCAGGAGCTGCCAAGGCTTGGAGCTCGCCTTGCAAGTTTGGCCCGCCGCGGGGCTTTTCTGGGCCTGGGGAAAGAGGGAGCTGACCGGCTAAAGCAAAGGAGGAGGGCGAAGAGGTTTGGGCTGTAAGAGGCTGAAAGAGCCTTCTAGTTGCCCCAGCCCTCCAGGCAAGCCGCTCTATTAAGACACCTCTAAGGGGTTCATCTTCAGAATAGGCCACAAGGAACTACCGGCCTCCCCAGCCCTTTCTAGCGTCTCCCCCCACCCCTCATTCCTTTCACAGTCACCCCCCCTTTTTTTCCTTGAAAATCCTTCTATTGTGCCAATCAAGCAGATGGTTTGCAGGAAATATAGCTTGGCCTCGCTGACCGAAACTAATTTTAACTAGCTTTCCAAGCCTGAAACGTTTGTTTTGCTCTTACAAAATAGCCCCCAAAACAGCTGGCAAGGGTGAATTAAACCCATTAAAGACACATTTATAAGAAATTATATTCACATAGATTGCCTGAACCCCCTTGTGCAGCCTAAGAGGGGAGATGAGCGCATTTAAATGAAAATGTCGCCGAACGCTCCCCTCCTTAACGTAGCCTGAAAGTCTCAAAACATTTTACTAAATAGATTAACTTGACTATTGTCTTGCACCACATTTATCAGCTTCATTAAGTGAATAGCTGAACAAATATATTACGCATGCATGAAAAGCTCTTTTTCGAGGAGCCTCATTGTATCCTCAACCCTGACAGGTGGTTAACTGTGTGTTGTGTTTTTTTGTGGGTTTTTTGTGTTTTCTTTTTCTTATTCCTCTTTTTTAACCCGAAGAAAGAGGATCTCTGTAGAGCAGCTCGGGGCGCAGTGCCCGCCTGGCGGGAGTTTACTTTAACTCGGGGCTTGGACGCTGTGGCCCAACGATATTAACACGGTGAGGCGTCGGTACAGGCGATTTCAGCCCATTCAAAATAATCAAAATTAAATTTAGATGAGCCAGGCCTTGAGTACTTTCTCTCTCCATCACCCCCCCCCTTTGTCTGGGAAATCAATTTTGTATTGTTTCTTTTCAAAGCTAATGTTTGCCTCTCTCGCGCCTTAAAAATAAACTGCCTTCGCTTTTCCTTACTTGACCAGCTCTCCTCAGACTGCAGGATTAAATATCCTTTTAACTCACATTTGGATCCATTTCACTTTACTGGGTGTCTTTAGGGACAATCCTTGTCTCCTGGGTCTCGCTGTCCCTGTGTGTGAAACGAGGGACTGCCCTAGCGAGCTCTTCATAGGCCCTTTCAGATCTGACCTTCTAAAGTTTAAAAACGCTCAGCTCTTTGTCGCCCCACCGCGGGCCCCATCAGGCCACTGGAAAGACCGCATTTCTGGGTGCCAAGGGCGCGCCCCGAGCGGAGGGAAGAAGCGCCCAACGCGCTGCAGGCTTCGGGGCAGAGCGGCCAGCCCGGGAGGAGTGCGCCGGCGCGGTTTCTGCGC